GCGAGGCAGTGAAGGAGGTCCCTTGGTCACTTTCAATTACTTCTGGAACCCCGTAGCGGCAAACAATTTCTGTCAAAAGGTACTTGGCTGTAGTCCTCGCGGTGAGATTAGTCACTGGGAAGGCCTCTGGCCATCCTGAAAACATGTCCACTATAACCAGTGCATATTCATGACGTCCGCTCTTTGGCATTTGAATGTGGTCAATCTGAATCCTCTGGAAGGGGTAATGTGGCTTGGCTAGATGATTAGGTGCAGTCTTTATGACCTTTCCAGGATTGCACTTAGCACATATAGTACAAGATTTGCAGTAATTCTGTGTTAAGGTAGTGATGCCTGGTGCTTCAAAATACTTGTCAATCAGTGAGTTCATCAGGAGCTTTGACAGGTGTGCTGGCCCATGGGCCCATTGGACCACCGCTGGGTACATACTTCTAGGTAGGCAGAACTTGAGATTAATGGTGTAAACTTCATCATGGAGTATTGCTCCTTTGTTCTTCCAACTTTGTTTCTCCTGAGAAGTGGCTGCAGCTTGTTGTTCCTTCAGAAGCCTGAGATCTGTAGGCAATGTTTGCATAGTGTAAATGGGTAATGTATCTGTGGCCACTCTTCTGTCCACTTCCCATCCTTGTCGTGCTGCCTCTTTGGCTGCCTGATCAGCTAGGTTGTTGCCACGTGCTTCTTCTGTGTCTAATCTTCCATGAGCTTTTACTTTCAATACTGCCACTTCTGCTGGGAGTTCCAATGCGTCCATCAGTTCTGCAATGGCTGCCCCATGTTTTACTGGGGTACCGGTGGCTGTAAGAAATCCTCTGGTCTTCCAGATTAAGCCAAAATCGTGTGCCACTCCCAGGGCATATCTTGAATCCGTATAAATGTTGACACGTAGGCCTTCGGACAGTTTGCAGGCCACAGTCAAGGCTGTTAACTCGGCCTCTTGGGCAGACTTAGTTGGTTGTAGGGCAGCTGCTTGTAATATTTGACATCCTGTGGTGACTGCATATCCAGTGTGGTATTGTCCTTGTTCATCAGCAAACCTTGAGCCATCCACAAATAGTGTTTGATCCGGGTTGAGTAATGCAGCTTCATAAACAGTTGGTAGGTGTGTAGTTTCCATTTTCATTTGTTCAAAACAGTCATGGGGAATATCGATGAGGTTGCAGTCTATGGTGGGTGGGTCCACACAGGCCTCTGTGTGGTACCTGGAGTATCCTGTTGTGCAGTAGTTAATGGTCTTTTTATTTATTCCCGTAGAAGTCAGTTGTTCTTGAGTCATTTGGTTCCAAGTTTTGGCCATCGGGCCTAGGTTCTCCCATAAGGTATTGTGGGATTCGGTGAGAGATATGTGTGGGATAGCTGTTTCCCAATGGTGGTAGAAGTGTGCTACATTATCTGGAAGGTGAACCAAAATGAGCATGGTACCTGTAGAGTCCCAGAATAAGTCAGTCAGGGTAATTTGAATTTCTTTGAGCTGAAATAGTTCTTCCTCATAGTTCACATCAGGACTTGGTTCGTCCCTAAACCACAAGACACAGTGGAGTGGGGCCTCTGATTGTTCATCAGGGGGAGGTGTGAACACGGGCAACTGTAAATCTGCTCGAACATCTGGGTTGATATCCAGGCTGTACCAGTGATGCACAATTCCCCCCTTGGGAAGTGGCAGAAGAGTGGCTGGGTTCAGGGAAAGGCATCTCTGGAGTTTCACATTATCAGGTAGGAGTAAGGATGTCTGTAGGCGGAGGTGACGTTGGGAAGAAAGGTGTTTAGGTCGAACTTGCTGTAGGATTGCAGTAATGTCGTGAGGGGCCAGCACTGTGAGGTGATGGCCAAGAACAAAGTCATTGGTCTTGTCCAGGAGAGCGCTGGCGGCAAACACCGCTCGGAGGCAAGAGGGGCTTCCCCTTGCAACAGGGTCAAGCATGCAGGAAAAATAGCCAATAGGGCGTTGTCTAGATCCACGTTTCTGGGTGAGGACTCCGGAAGCATGTCCTGATTTTTATGAGACAAACAGGTGGAAGGGAAGTCGGTAGTTGGGCAGGCCCAAGGCAGGTGCAGAAGCAATAGCTCTTTTCAGAGTATGGAAACAGGTGATAGTTTCTTCTGTAAGATGAAAGGGCTCACTCCTGAGGGCATCATAGAGTGGCTGCATGAGCTTTGATGCTTCAGGTATCCAGGACCTGCAATACGTGATAAGGCCCAGAAAAGCATGGAGAGCCTGGTGATTAGCAGGCAGTGGAAGATGCAGAATGGCTTGTACACGTTGGGAGGTTAGATGTTTGGTGCCATGGTAAAGGCAGTGTCCCAAGAAGACCACAGAGGGCCGGCACCATTGTAACTTGGATTTTGAGGCTTTGCATCCAGCTGCAGCAAGGAAACATAGGAGATCTTCTGAATCACGCTCTGCAATGGGCAAATCAGGAGCACAGAGAAGGAGATCATCAACATATTGAAGCAGGACGACATCCAAATGAGATTTCTGCCAAGGATCCAGTACCAGTGACATGGCGTGAGCAAACTGTGTGGGGGAATTCTGAGCCCCCTGAGGCATGACAGTCCAGGTGTATTGCTGTCCTTCATGGGTGAAGGCAAAGAGAAACCGACAGGAAGGGTCAAGAGGGACACTGAAGAAGGCATTAGCTAGATCCACCACGGTGAATATTGTTGAAGTTGATGGGACTTGGGATAAGAGGGTGTGGGGGTTAGGAACAATTGCAGTGTCTTTGATGGTCACATCATTCACAGCACGGAGATCTTGCACCATGCGGTACTGGTCAGGTTGACCTTTAACAGTTCTCTTTTTAACAGGAAACAGCGGAGTATTACATGGAGATGAACACTTGATGAGGGCACCTTTGGCAAGGAGACTTTCAACTTGTCTGGTAATGGCTTCAGCTTGTGCAGGCTTCAGAGGATACTGTGGCCTGCGAGGAGGCAGTGCCCCAGGCAGGAGCTGAACTAAGACCGGGGGCACATGTAAACGACCAATATCATCCGGGCCAGTGGACCAAAGTTCTTGAGGGATACGATCCAGAGCACTGGGGGTTTGTGGGACCCGTGCATCCCCTGTATTGTCAGTTAGGTTTAACAAAATAGGGAGTGAACAGAGGACAGAGGTATCCTTTTGTGATAAGGGAGTTGTCAATTCAATCTGCCCATCTGCAGTGAAGGTAATAGAGGCCTGGAGCCGAGAGAGAACATCGGCACCTAGGAGGTTAATGGGGCAGGTAGAGGAAACAACAAAGCGTGAGAGGATGTGGGAACCTACGTGTAGAAGCTTAGTAAGGGGGTTGCTGCGTGGGGTACCATCCACCCCAACACAGGAAACATCAGTGTCAGACAGGAAAGAAGGGTCAGGCAGGTCTTGTTCCCTAAGGACACTACGGGCTGCACCTGTGTCAACTAAGAAAGTGGTGGGGTGGCCCTCGACAGGGAGAACAACAATAGCTAGAGGGCCCCCCCCATCCCCCGCAGACACTGCCATGGCAGGGGTTGCTGACACAGGCTTGCCGGTTACCTATTGGAATAAATCTAAATGGGCCTGGTCTGGTCCCTGGTACCGGCGGGAAGTAGAAGGGGGGTTAGCAGAATGCATGGGGGGACGAGATGGGCGGAGGGTATGACGGGGCTGGCCGTCTTGGAAATCATCATTATCAAACCCTTCTGCAGAGGGTGAAGGATATGCACGAGCTTCTGATACAGGGAGCCGAGCTTGAGAGTATTCAGGAGGAGGAGGAGGAGGAGGAGGGGGAGGAGGGGGAAGCTGAGGCAACTGTGGATGGGGAAGGGCGGAAAGGTAACCAGGGGAAGGGTAGTTGTAGCCAGTGACATGGGGACCTTGGTACCGGGGAGTTGGCTGGCGGAACACTCTAGGCTGTGGGCAATCTCTTCTAAAGTGGCCTGGCTGATTACAATTAAAACAGGTCCGGATTGTCATAATGGTCCGGTCCCGGGGGAAAGGGATTGGTGCAGGCAGTGTCTGGGGTGATTGGGTGTACTGTGGGGGGTACACCTGAGGAACTTGATTAGAACTAGCGATAGGCGTGGAGGTGGTGTACATCAGTGGGCTAGCCCTGCGCTGTGTGGGTTGTAAAACAGATTCTAAGCCCTTGGCTACCAACAAAAGGGTGTCTAGTGGAATAATTCTATACTCAGGGCGAGCTAAAATCAACCCCTTACGAATATGTTCTCTCAATCCTGCCACAAAAGCTGCAGAGAGCATCTGGGTGTGTGCCTTGTTGTAAGTGCTGAACCCTAAGTCCGAGAATGTCTGAGTCAACCTAGAGTGGTACTTCTCAACGGTCTCAAGTTTGTCCTGTATTATGTCAAGTAGCCTGGTCAGCTAGTTTATCCTGCGCCCAGGCGCGAAGTTGTTCACAGAAAGTTTCACCAGAACGGTAATCAGTATCAGAAGTAAGTGGAGCATCACTAAAGCTCCGTTCCATGATTGGCCAGTATGCATCTCCAGCCTTAATTTCACATAAACTAATAAGATCTCGCCATGCAGCGGAATATGTCTTGCGGATCTGAGCCATCCTACGGAAAAAGGGCATGGGGTGTTTCTCAGGATCAGGGAGTGAGGTGACAAGGGTAGCGGCTTGGGAAGGGTTAAAAGTAAAGTACGTAGGTGGTGCACCATCCGCACCATGACTGATCTGAGTATACCCCTGGGGAATCGAGTGCCGTTGGGGAAGCCTTTCCCCCGCCTGATGGGGTGGGCTCTGGTCCACCACAACGACCTCCTCGGGCACTATTGGACCACGGTGAAGAGTAGCCTCAGGGGTAGCTGTAGCGGGGGCAACTGGGAAGGGGGTGATAGGAGAGGTAAATGGGTGGAAACCCGAGGCTTGGGGGGAGGCACCCATCGCATAGGGCTGATCCGAAGTCGCAGACACCTCGGACCCAACCACCATGATTGGGTAACTGGTGCTGGCGGAAGGGGCACGGGGAACTAAAGCCGTGGAAGGGGCCATCATGGGGGACGGCGGGGCTGGCCGTGAGAGGTGGGTGTTTAGGACATGTGCAAGAGCAGAGATTGGATCGGAAGGCTCGAGGAGATTAACGGGAGACAAGGGAGGGGTTGAAGGCTCGGGGGGAGGAGGAGGAGGAGGAGGAGGTATATCGATGGGAGGCAATGCTGGGATCGCGGAGTTAACCAGGGAAGTGACTGCAGTGAAAAGGGCGGATATTGAAGTAGACAGGTCATTGGACATAGGTGCGTCAAGGGTTGCCGGGGAAGGGGTTGGAGGGATAGGAACAAGGGGCTGTGGCAGAGCAACTTGGGCGGAGAGTTAGGATGGCAAATCGGCCGTGGGAGGGAGGGACAACGAGGTAGAGGGGGCTGGGACTTCGGGAGGAGGAGGAGGTAACACTGGAGGAGAGGTGGTAACAGGGGGCTGGGTCAGGGCGGTGAGGGCAGAGATTAGGGACGGCAAATCGGCCGTGGGAAGGAGGGATAACGAGGTAGAGTGGACTGGGACTTCGGGAGGAGGAGGTAACACTGGAGGAGAGGTGGTAACAGGGGGCTGGGTCAGGGCGGTGAGGGCAGAGATTAGGGACGGCAAATCGGCCGTGGGAGGGAGGGATAACGAGGTAGAGGGGGCTGGGACTTCGGGAGGAGGAGGTAACACTGGAGGAGAGGTGGTAACAGGGGGCTGGGTCAGGGCGGTGAGGGCAGAGATTAGGGACGGCAAATCGGCCGTGGGAAGGAGGGGTCCTGGGTCAGCGGGGAGACAGAGATCCGGAGGAATAGGGCCGGTAGAATGGGTATGGGGTAGGGGAGTTGGATGTGTGATAGACGGAGAGGATGAGGGAACGGAAGCTACTAAGGAAGGGGTACTCGGGGTTGAGAGGGAAGCGGAGGAGGAAGGTGGGACTTCAATGGGTGAGGTGAGGGAAGCCATGGTAAGGTCCGGAGTGGGGACAGTCACTGGGAGAGGTAACGAAGGACATGAAGGCGGAGGGGCTTCGGCAGGCATGGCAGAAGGATGGTTAACGGAGGGGGTTGGGTCATAGGAAGGTTGAGGCATGGGAGTAGGAGGGAACGAGTGAAGTGGCACTGGATAATAGTAAGCACCATCCGCACCGAGTACGGGGCACAGGGGAGTGGGAGCTGAAGACACACCCCCAGAGGGTGGGGTCTGTGTCGTGACGGGAGAAGCAGGGCGGGAATTAAGTGTTGCGCTCCGGGCGCCATCATAGGGCGGTGGTCGTGGAACAATAGAAACATCATCATTATGAACACTCCTGTGATAAACATACACAATATGCCCCTGAAACTCTAGTTCTTCCTCGACCCATCCTTCCCGTTTCAAACCTCTAGCCACCCGGTACCAAGCCTCTGCAACTTTCGTAAGTCCATTATCCAACAACAACCCTTCCTTGTCTGTGAGTAGCTTCCTCCAAAACTCAGGTTGTAATCTCCCACTGGGCAACATCTGGAAACCACACACCTTAGCAATCTTTTTAAGTTTCAACATTGCATCTTCCCCTGCCCTTTCTTTCACAATGTCACAAGCTAGCAAGCCCTTAGCAGGTCTAGCGTGTTCCTGTCCCATTTTTGAGTAATCAAAGCGTGCCACACGTGGAAGACAAAGAAGTATAGTAAGTACAAGGGAAAAAGAATGTCTACAGTGCTCGACTGCCACGAGAACTTGAGCCCCGTGCGTCTTCCCCAAACGTAGACCAGTCACGGAGATCCGCCCACCCGGGGTGGTGGTCACGGACGGGAGCGAATGAGCGTGGGTGACTAACACAGCTCTGGGCAACAGGCACAGGAGAGATAAAGAACAAAGGAGAAAGTGAACGTGGCTGCGCTAATGAGAAGACATTTGCAAAAATCACAAACATACAAATGAGCGTAAACTCCGGAATCCAGAACTAACCACACGACACACACACACACACCAAGGGTACCCACACTGTAACAACAATTAAACAGAAACCACAGAATGATAGAGAGCAAAATAGCCATGTACATGTTAACACCACCGGTGTCGGATATTCAGGGTATAACAATCCCCAGCCTTCACCCACCAGGCTGGTCCCGGTAAAACACTGGTACCAAAGGAAATACTGCAATAATCAAACAAAAATCCCAGCCCCACCGGCTGCAATGCGTTCCCTGCCCGCTAGGCAGTCAAGCTAACATAAAAACCCAGCCCCACCGGCTGAAATGCGTTCCCTGCCCGCTAGGCAGTCAAGCTAACATAAAAACCCAGCCCCACCGGCTGAAATGCGTTCCCTGCCCGCTAGGCAGTCAAGCAAACATATAAAATGCGTTCCCTGCCCGCTAGGCAGTCAAGCAAACATATAAAATGCGTTCCCTGCCCGCTAGGCAGTCAAGCAAACATATAAAATGCGTTCCCTGCCCGCTAGGCAGTCAAGCAAACATATAAAATGCGTTCCCTGCCCGCTAGGCAGTCAAGCAAACATATAAAATGCGTTCCCTGCCCGCTAGGCAGTCAAGCAAACATATTTTTAAAGGTATAATAAACACACCCACATAAATGAATACAGGAGGCAGATAGACAATCGACAGGTTCACTTAAAAAGGGCGCACCGGATGAGTTAATTACCTGTCTCTAGTAGCCTTCTGGAAGCCGGAAGTGGACTCGGAGACAGACCGGCACAAAACAGGAGAATAACACAGGCAACAGCTGTATTATGGAGGTGATCAGGCTCCGCTTGTCCCACTTTCCGGAGGTCCGCTCCGGTCCGTTGGTTCCGGCCCTCCGAACCGGCTCTCCGGTGGGCCCCACGTTGGGCGCCAATTGAAGTGGAAAAATCAATTAAAGTATTGATTATTTCTTTGTGTATCTGCCCCTGGCCAAATCAATGAAACTATGCGTGCACGCTCCCTGAAGTAATTCACACCAGACACAGGTTCCAGGTTGTTGAATAACTTGAGGAAAGTTTATTCAGAGGGGACGGCAAGTCCCTTTTAAAGCAAAATTACATCATAAGCATTGTCAGAGATAACATGGAATAATACATCAATTATTGGTTAGGTGTTAAGTGGTTGCTTCAATGCTCTGCCTACTGTAGGTGATGTCACCGGGGCCATGAGGGTCTCCCACGGTTTACCGGCGCCATCTTGATGCACGAGGTAGTTAGTCGATGTTAGGAAGGAGAAAGGGAGGGGAGGGGGAAAGGAGCTAGAAGCTTCCAGCAGCCATCTTAATTATAACGTGTGTGTGCTTAGCTATATATGTATATATCGTGAAATGAGTAAATAGACATTTTTCACTAACTAGGAAATATGTGTAGACCTTATTTCCACAACATTAGGTAATTTACTAATAACATTTTTTACAAATGAAATGTGATTTAAAACAAAAACAATGTGTGTAATTTACACAGACTGATTTCTATTGTAATTTGTTGTTTTCAATAAATCATTTCTATTGAAAATTTTGACATACAAATAACATGAATCTATGTTATTGATCTATGTCATTTGTGCAATCTCTTTTTATATTGGTTAACAACCTTAGATTACATAAAATATAGTGTGATACAGTAGTAGAGACATGCGACAAGTGAGTGTTTGTGGTAAATTGACTTAGGTCTGTTAACATGTGTGGCCTCGTTATGCGCTAAACTGCAATATAACAAAAGAGAATAGAATATGTTTGACAATGTGACCATTTCATTCTCAGATCATTATAGTGATCGCATCAAACATAGATGATTCATATACTGTAGTCAATACAAGTATTCAGTCAAGTTAAGCAATAACTAATTAAGGAACAACAAACATAAAAAAGAAAATACATAAGTGTTAATAACTGTATTACACATCCCCCACTGTACCATGGGAACAAACTGAATCCTCTCAAGTCTTAGGTTATCAGGAAAAGTAATGCAACTCATCTAAGTACCCAACACAACAGTGAAATGTTTTCTCAGGCTAATGGTGCTTTGGTTAGATGGTACAATTTAGAGTGTTTTTGGAAGTCATTAGTGTACAACATTGAAAATTAATACCCAAATTTATGAATCCACTTATATTATGTTAGACCAGAAGCATTGTTTTTACTTTTTCCCAGCTATTCCAAATTTTTCACAGGCTTTCAGTTTACCTAATTGAAGGAACACCATGTTTTTATATTGAAACTTTATGAAATTTAATGTAGAAAAATGCAAAGTTATGTCCTTGGGGGGAAAGAATGCACAACCAACTCATACCCTAAATCGTAGTGAATTAGGGATAACAACAAACAAGAAGGATTTGGGAATTGTTATAGTCAACAAACTAGGAAACAATGTCAGTCAGAAGTGTCTAAGGCCAGTAAAGTATTGTCATGCATTAAAAAGGGCATTAATTCTCAGCATGAGAATATCATTTTGCCTCTTTATAAATCACTGGTAAGACCACATCTTGAATATGCTGTACATATTTGGGCAGCTGTTCTAAAGAAGGATATTATGGTACTGGAAAGAGTGCAGAGGTGGGATACAAAATTAATAAAAAGGAATGATACATTTTAGCTATGAAGAAAAGTTAACAAATTTAGACCGCTTTAGTTTAGAAAAGCGTTACCTCGGAGGGGATATGATAACATTATACAAATATATCGAGGGCTAATACAAACCATTGTGTGGAAACAGGACGATAGATAGGACACCATGTCATGTGTTTAGACTGGAAGAAAGAAGATTTAGACTAAAGCAAAGGAAAGTTTTTGTTTTCCATCAGAACATTAAGGATGTAGAACTCTCAGCCTGAAGAAGTGGTTTTAACAACGTCTGTACTTATATTTAAACAGCAACTAGATGCATACCTGCAAAAACATAATATTCAATTATATAATTTTTCAACTGTACAGTAATAGCTTATTGATCCAAGGATAAATCTGACTGTGGGTCAACAGCAGAAAACAGATGTGAAGAAGGCTGAACTTGATGGGTGCATGTCTCTTTTCATCCTATGTAACTATGTAACTCTTTGAAGGACTTCTCTAATAGAAGGAGTTATTGTTCTTTTCCAAAGATACGCAATGCTTTTCTTAGCTGCAATTACAAGACTCAATAGGACTACTTTTGTAGAGATTGAATCTAAGCCTGGGATGTAACACGTAGCATACAGGTCTGTGGGGAATGACTACACCTAGCGACTTCCTAGCTAAGTCACCGATTTGTGTCCAAAATCCTTGTCTACCGTTGCAGTCCAAAAAAGTATGTTGAAAGGTGTGATGAAGTGCCCTTCGCTACTTTGTCCTGGAGAGGCCTTCTTGCCTGCCTCCTGCCCTGCGACTATGG